CGTCGTCGATATCCAAAAGCGGCGTACCCACTTTGCTTTTGTCTCCCTGCACAAGGCTCCTTACTGGGAAAGTTTTGATGTCTTTATTTTTCCAGCAGAATTTTAAGCACCACCTTTAGATGCAAACCACAAGTGCTCAAAAGTGGCGCAAAATTGTCTCATCAAAGCTAGATAGGCACTAGAAAGGTGACAAATTTACATCTTCTAATTTTTTGAGGACTTCGAGTTTGGAAAAAACTTCTAATTCAAGACCCGAGCAGGAGCATCAAAAAACAACCAATAATTGAATTAGATAATGCTCTCGTTGACTAGGTGCACGAGTTTCTATATTTGTACAGCACTCTTTTTGTAAGAGAATCGCACTTAATCATACATTTCTTAGAAGCATATTCATAGACAAAAATAAAATTTTCAGCTAAAACGCACTATGTATAATATATAGAGAGGAGTCATTTCGAAAGAGACAGTTTTTGTAGGATCCTACTCTTCGAATTTTCGAATCTGTGTAAATTGTTGTTTAATACCTTTTGCAGGGTACGTAGTTAGTTGGTAATGGAACTTGAGCCAACAGTGTTGTGTACCTTCCTTGAAGACATGAAATACGCGGCCCATTACTAAACGATTGCAAACAATTTTGCTTATTTTATTGACTCTTTAAAAGCGAGTTACTAACCTCAAAATATAAGGAGCATAAAAAACGGCTCGTTCTGCTGTTAAGTTTTCGGATGCGCCTCCACCGTTTTTACAATCATTCCTGCCTTTGTGAAACCAGTACGCTAGTTGCTTTAAAATTCCGCAAGACATTCTCAGAGAAGCCCATTTTGTTCAACACACTCCGACCTTTGCCAACGACACTCATAGTTCCTATGACAGGTAAAAAATTCATTCCTAAAATGTAATGTGAGCGATAGATAGAGCCGCCTCAAAGCAGCTGGAATGACAGGGAGTATTGGAGGCATTGATGACTCACGAAGACGATAGCAGAGAAGCACGCATGACGAAAATTTCAAAACACTCGTGTCATCGCATATGGTGTAGGGTGCGATCAATTTGACAATTTCGAGACCACTCTCTCGTCTCGAGCTTGTCTGCGCATAGCCTTTTTCCCACTTGGGGCGATTATTGCTCAGAATAGCGAGCACAACAACCTAAGAACGTTCCAGGAAATATGAAATTCAATGTGAGGGTAAGTTTAAGGACACACTAAAAACTGAATTGATTTTGACGTGCACTTCGACTGAGTAAAATCAAAATATTACGTAGACTATCGCATGATTGCGGAGCAACACTCCAGGTGGGAACATTTAAGCGACCGGAACTGGGAAAACCTTGTTGAGTTTGAGACGGCTACTTCTGTCAAAGTAGATCTTTTGATTGCAAATTCAAGAAGATCCGCTAAAGGTGCAAAAGGTAGGAGGAATGAGAAATTTTGGCAACTACAGTCTGTCTCAATCATAGTAAGGCAAATGATGTCTGCTTCGCGCACTCGAAACGCAAAACGTTTGCTCTGCACTTGCGCACAGCATTGCCAGAAAAAAAAACGAAGGAAATGAACGGGGAACAGACAGCTCCTAACACAACTCCTGACATAACCATCTTTAGCAGACCGCACCGCGACGCTCGGTCATAGCATTGAGGAGCGCATCATGTCACTTTATCCTGTTCCGGGTTGGTGTAGACTGTGAACATGTAAGCGACGCATTAATAACGCTTTGGGGCAAAACTCCAAGGCGCTTGAGCTAAATCTGAAGAGAGTGAGAATGCGAAAAGGATTTATCACTGTTGAGGAGCTCACATGTTGTTTATCGTTGTTCAGGAGTTCACATGAGAAATGTTAAGGCAGGGGCAGTTTGACTTCAAGAACTGCCCTTCAAAACACAGTAAGGAACAGCGGTGGGGGTAGGAGGAAGAAGAATGTCAAAAATCTGTGGCATTTCTAACATGGAAATCTTGAATATTCATGTAAACAAGAATTCCTGACTTTGACTTTGATAGACTCTGCGTTAGGTGTACGCGCAATACTTTGAAAGTTTAATTTGGTTAGCGCAAAATACGGGCATGGAAAATATCCATCTTTTAAAAAATGTTCTGCGCACTATGGCACTGTGACATCCTATTAGTTGTGTTCTTATACGTTTATAATATAAAAAATTTTAATTCAGCCATCGTAAAAACCCATAAACCATCCAAAGCTATCCCTTTTTTTCTTCTCTACGTAGACAAGTGTTCTTGTAAAAGGTTACCAATACATAAGAGAGTTTTCAGCAAAAACGAAGCAATTGCAAAAGCTCTCAAAAGCTTATCAGTAGCGGCAAATAGAATCGGTGACGTACCGCTTTCCTCTTTAGGTGCAAAATCAAAGCTCTTCAAATTAAATGTTTTGAGAACGAACCTCCTTACTTTTTGAGAAAAACTTTGAAGCTGGATACTTCTTTGAAGCGATACACTTGAAAGATGTCGAGTTTTCTCCTGGGTGAGACACCGGCCCGTAGTAAACACACCATCGAGGCATCTCTCTCGACGCGGACCGGAGTTGAGGTCATCGCGCCTCAGTCCAGCATACGGCGAGCTATTGATTTGGATGCGGATCACTGCCGAGGCATTGCAATCAAATGTGTACTTGAAAAAGAAGCACTCGAGCTGGTTTGGTCAAACGGATAAGCGATTGGAATTACGCGCGCGCGGCCGTGGTTCGACTCCGTCTATTATCGTCTCCCCAACTTTGGCGAGGCGGACCGACGAGCGCCATTGCCCACTTTCGCGCGCGGCAAAACGCTTAGCCGCGGCGCAGCATTTTCAATCAGCTGATTCCGCGGCAGCGTCCATGTTGAAAAGGTAAGTATTTTTGATGTTTTGACATGTATTTTTTTCAGGAAAGGTGTGAATCGAAAAGGTAAGTCCATTACAACTGTTTTTTGTAAAAAACATTCATTTTTGAAAGTTTTGAGCTATGTTGTGAGGACTGCTGCAAGCGTGCCTGCGCCGGGGCTTTTTTGTTCTTTTTTTACTTTTCGATGTTGTATGTTTGTTTTAACAATGTTTTCGTAATGTTTATTTCTTGTTTTCGTGATTGAATGCCATTACGGGTATCGATTGTGTTTCCAGGACTTCGTTTGCTGCACCAGGTGGGTTCCACTTCTTCTTTCACGTTCTTTTTTCTTTTTTTGTCGTTTTTCTTTCTTTATTTGAAAAGTTCGATTCATTTATAACAATATTTGCATGCTTGCAGCATGCACGTGTCTTACCTGTTGTGCATGCGTTCGTTTTATACAATTTTAGAGTTTGCCTTTGCATGCTGCTCGTCTGGCCGTTACCATTAGCCGCTCCTCTAGCTGCCCACTGCTAGCTCTAGTTCTTCTTCTATGTGAGCAAGGGAACCTTCCAGTGGTGTGGCTGAAAGAGTGGCAGGAACTGTGGCCACCATGAACTGAAATATTGCATGTCATGAGTCCTGTATGCTGGATTTTTAGGGGAAATCATCCTAAGGAATGTAACAAAACGTGAGTTCTTTCTCTCCATGCAATTTCTACCTGTTTTTAATCGTTTTGAAGTAGCGGTGGGTTATCCTCAGCTATATTGACCTTCTAATCAATATACTATCCTCGTAGTACATTGTACACGCCGTGGTGTCTGCGATAATCGTTCCTTGAATGTCTTAATGAACCTATTATGCTATTTTTCGATTTGCTCTAAGTAATTAGTGTTCTATGAGAGAAATTGTTTTTGACAGCATGTTTTATCTAGGAAGGTGCTAACCATATCACCGAACGCTAAGTTTTCGCCATGCAAATAAACGATTTTTAAGTTATCATGATTCTTTTGATGAAAAGAAATATGCTCAAATTCAGTCCTCTATCGCTCGCCGTTTGCTACTGGGCAACGTACCCTAGGCTCGGTAAATTTGACATTTCCTTCCTCCTTGATTGTTCAAGAGCGCATTATTGCAGACATCAATATCCCGTAGTGTTCAACAGATCCCAGAACAAAGGGTAATTTTAGTTGATTTTCCCCGCGCATGATTGACTAACGAAGTAACGATCCTGCACGTTTTGATTTTCTTCTTAAAGGCAGTGTCTCACTAGAATTTGAATCTCGGGATTTTTGCAAATTACAAGTCTTTCCGACCTTGTGTAACCCTAAACGGGCTCTAACTTGCGCAAAAACCCCGGAAACCCCGTTTTTCAAAACCCCTTCAGAAGCGACGCGGACGAGCTTTCCCGCTTCACACCAATTCTGGCCACAGGAATGAACACGTCAAGAAGGATGGTGTCGCCTGGAAAGACGTGTTGAAACGCGATAGAGGAACGGAGAATTCGTCCAGCGCGAGCCGAAATGCGCTCCGCGAGCCACTTTGAACCAAATTTTCTCGATGTAGGAAAGGCCTTATAAAGAGGGACTTGGGCATTGACCTAGTAGGGGGTCCTCCAATAAACTTCGTGAAAATCTGGTATACTCTAACTCTGGTGAGACACTGCCTTTAACTTAACGTAACGTAAATTAACCTATAGCTGCTTGCTAACAATGTTCTTGTCAGAACCTCCCGAGCTCTAACAGAGTCGACAGACGCGAGCCGGTCATAGGAGTTTCTCGCTCATCATCAGTGAGTAACTACACTTTTGTTGCCTTAGTTCATTTATCACTATCTCGTTGTTGACATCTGATATGTTAGGCTTCGTTCGACCTCGGGTCACTGCTGTGCGATCTGTGTTTTGACATATTTGAACGTGAAGTTGACCATTCCATCGAAGGGCCAAGGCACCCTGTTTTAGACGACAGACGTCGTGCCATTGTAGCGAATGTGAAGGGCTTTTTTGAGGAATTGAAACGAAGGCTGGGTAGAGAAAGTGTGGGCACAATCTTCCACGCGACAACAGAGCTTACCGCGTTGGCTTGTGGTGTCTCCCCCCCGTACGGTCAGCAGGATCAAGACTAGAACGTACGTTCGCAGGCCGATTCCTCTTGCGACCCGTTCCGTCCAGAAGACCAGACGGTTTAGGAGGATGCAGGCGTTGAGGAAGTACGGCGATGAATGGGGTGACGCAATACGTCACTTTATTCACGAGAAGTTCAAGGAGGAGGCGAACGTAACGGTTGCGGAACTTCGGGATGGACTGAAGGAGAGGTACCCAACATTCGACTTGTCGGAAACGGCATTCTACTACCTGATGAGGGGCCTCGGATTCACGTACAGACTTAATAATGCTCTACGATACATCTTCGAGCGGCCTGAAAGAACAGGAGAGCGAAGTATCTTGCTACCGTGGAGAGCGAGGATGAACCACCACTGCATCGTCTACATCGACGAAACGTGGGTGTTCGACTGCATGACGAGGAAGAGGGGGTGGAACGACACCACAGTGCCGCGGTTTGCTTCTGCCTCAACGATGCAGGAATTCTCCTGCAGTAAGACCGTCGCTAAGAACAAGGGACGAAGGGCGATTGTGATCGGTGCCATAACAGAGGACGAGGTCATACCGAGCTGCACCAGGGTAATCTTCAGCGGCCAAGGTCTAATTGACGACGACTACCACCGCGACATGAACCATGCAATGTTCGAGCAGTGGCTACGGGACTCTATTCCGTACATGCTGCAAGTCGCGAGGGGTCGTTCTGTATCCATAGTAATGGATAACGATATACCCTACCACTCTCGTCAATTAGAAAAGGTGATACAACCTGCCCTATTCGCTGATCTTTCATAGAAGCTACAACTTCAGATTCCGGGGCGATCTTCTTCCAAAGCCGCGATTGAGGATTACCTTCGGCGCAATGGTGTTACGGTTCCGCAGAATAGCAGCAAAGAAGACCTTGTAGCTGAGGTAAACACCGATAGTGACTATTCCGCAGACGCTTATACTGCATCTATGCTTTTTCAGCTGCAGTTTTCATTGGGAGCGCGGCGGTATAGCTGCAGTACGCAGGTATGCCGTAGAGTCCATATGCGCCGAGTTTGGAGTAGCAGTGATAAGGCTTTTCCCCTATCACTGCTTCTTCAACCCCATTGAACTCTGCTGGAACCAGCTAAAGGGGAACCTCACCAAGTTCGGGAGGCTCAATGACTCCTTGTATACGGTAAGTCTGAGGTTGAAAAGAAACATTTGCAATTTACTGCCTGTTATAGGTGCGTGTTAGGGCACTCGATTGGATGGAAAACGTCCGCGGAGGGTTGTGCCAAGGATGGATGAGACACGTGATGAAGGAGGAAAATGCAGCACGAGAGAAGATTGTACTGGATAGGAACAGCACTATGGTATGGGAAGATGAACTATCGGACGCCTCGACATCCACTCCCGAAGAGTATGGAGACAGCGATCTCGATTTAGAGTTGGACAGCGATCTCGACTTGGAACAGGACAATAATGCTCAGTCGAACGATGTTTAGGAGACCTTTACTTTCTCTAGCCCTGATTTCTATAACCTTTCTTTTTGTTTCACCTAATCTATCCATCTCACATCATGTACATATCGCTAACAATGAAATTTCTTCTTCAAAGCGATTAAAAACAGGTAGAAATTGCATAGAGAGAAAGAACTCACGTTTTGTTACATTCCTTAGGATGATTTCCCCTAAAAATCCAGCATGCAGGACTCATGACATGCAATATTTCAGTTAATGGTGGCCACAGTTCCTGCCACTCTTTCAGCCACACCACTGGAAGGTTCCCTTGCTCACATAGAAGAAGAACTAGCAGTGGGCAGCTACAGAAGCGGCTAATGGTAACGGCCAGACGAGCAGCATACAAAGGCAAACTCTAAAATTGTATAAAACGAACGCATGCACAACAGGTACGACACGTGCATGCTGCAAGCATGCAAATATTGTTATAAATGAATCGAACTTTTCAAATAAAGAAAGAAAAACGACAAAAAAAGAAAGAAGAACGTGAAAGAAGAAGTGGAACCCACCTGGTGCAGCAAACGAAGTCTTGGAAACACAATCGATACCCGTAAAGGCATTCAATCACGAAAACAAGAAATAAACATTACGAAAACATTGTTAAAACAAACATACAACATCGAACAGTAAAAAAAGAACAAAAAAAAGCGCCGGCGCAGGCACGCTTGCAGCAGTCCTCACAACATAGCTCAAAACTTTCAAAAATGAATGTTTTTTTACAAAAAACAGTTGTGATAGACTTACCTTTTCGATTCACACCTTTCCTGAAAAAAATACATGTCAAAACATCAAAAATACTTACCTTTTCAACATGGACGCTGCCGCGGAATCAGCTGATTGAAAATGCTGCGCCGCGGCTAAGCGTTTTGTCGCGCGCGAAAGTACGCAATGGCGCTCGTCGGTCCGCCTCGCCAAAGTTGGGGAGACGATAATGCCAACTCGCTTTTTGATGCATCGCCGGGCAATCTTTGATAGCGGCCACTATGGCAATCGATGATGATCGCTATCAAGGACTTCGCCAGGCAAATACACGGATAAAACAGAAACACAATTTGTGACGAAAATTTTATGAAAAAACGAAATGATAGTAGCGTGTATTCAATGAAATGAATAAATGAGTTCTCGTCTTGTACAGCCAGTGAGAAAAAAAATCAGTAAGATTTACAAAAAAGAGAAGAATTTGTTTTTTTGTTTTCCTCGCCAAAATCAGCTGTTCATCGATCCTCTCCTTTTCGGGCGCGGTGGCGCAGTTTTGCGCCGATTTTTTCTGCATTTTTTGGCAAAGCTGTGTGTATCGTAAGTTACTCGGGAGCAAATTATGTTAGATGCAGTCAACTCTTATCTGCGACTCCTCTTTTACACGCTATTTGTATTCTTCTAACATCCGTTCACGTTCAGTTCAACTCTGCGTGAACGGATGTGGAACAGTTGACTGCGGCAGGTGGACAGATGGCCAACTATCAGTTGACTTGACCATCTTATAGCATGGAAAGTTGGACGGTCATCAGTTCACCTCACCTAAGCTTAACTGATGGGAAAGTTGAGTTCACCTCAACTGATCAAGCCTCACTACGGGCCACCATTACACATACGTTTCCTATGAAAAATTTCCGGTGTTTCATTTCAAAGTAAACGGTCATTTCGCTCAGGCTTATGCACTACTTGCCATTGTCTACTTTTGCGGGAAAAAAGAGCTGTTGAGTGAAGGGGGGAAGGGATGAAAAAAGTTCTCTGAGAAAATTCAAATACTAGACGTTTTCTCCATTTCTCTCTTCTCCTCTTCTTCCCAACTAATCTGCTGCAAAATAATGAGTGTTCTAAGCAACACCTTTTGTGAAAGTGAGATTCCAATCCACATCAATCAAGCCACTTTTCCATCGCTAGGATGTATTATGGGACATTATATCGGTTACCTCATGAGTTTCAGCTTGCTTCCGCACTCATACTATCAAGCTTGCAAGAGATTATGCTTGTTGAGGTGTCACTGTCAGAATTGTTGCAAGTGGCGTCCGTCGCGAACTCGGGTAAGTTCCAAAAAATACTGGATAATTCAGTTATGAACATGGACTGGAATTATTTCGCAGAATTTTGTTGGAGTGAAACTATGGTGTTCATATATTGGATTTTTCTTTAAATTTTTCCTCAATTTTTTTTTGCCCTAGTCAATTTGGAAACGCGTAAAGGATTCGTTCAAAAAAATATTGTATGATCTCTTAATGATGTTGAAGAACTCCCAGCGGAAATGCCTCGTTGTAATGAGACTACGGGAATAATACTTTCATGATTGAAGAGTATTTTGGACGTTTACCTTTTGCCACAGCCAATTCTTATTTAAAAAGCCTTTTAGCATAACAATCGAAACTCGTGAAGGACAGGCAATGAATTGCTTTCTATAATGCAATTCAGTGACGCATCACTTTTTTTATGGACTGCGGATACAAAGAACTCATTAGTACGGATGTACAATGCTGCATTCGCCAATTATTTCCAACGGACGATTAGAACAATAGACTTAATAAGATTAAAGTTATAAAGTTACGTAGAAATGGTGTATATAGATCATCAATTCCTGGCGAATAAAAGTGCTTTTGCACTGTTATGATAAATGTGGAGGCATCTTATTAGAGGAAATATAGAGAGTTAGAGTGCACGGTGTGAACAGAGACGCCGCTATGATGGTCCATAAAATTCCGTTCTAAGCTTGTCTGCATGTGGTTGGCTTCTGTATATTGGGTGTAATTAAATAATTCTGCGATCGCAGTTAAGGTATTTAATGAACAGCTGTAATGCCAGTCAGCACTTCCCACTAACATACATTTTTTACTTGTGCTTCATGCATACAGTAGCAATTTCAGAATGAAGGTTTCGCTTCTTCTGGTCTCGTGGCTGCCAGCGTTCGCAGTATGCACTTCAATCTCTAACAACCCAAATTCTCTATGTAAGTTCTCTTCTAGCAAGGGTGTCCATAGTGCTGAACACTAGAACTCAGAGTTCTCAGAAGCTTACACTATTACGGTAGTCTCTAGACGCAAGGAGCTGATAAATGGGTAACACTTTTGAAGTCCTCGTGCAAAAGTCCTCGTACGTTGCAATCATCTTTAAAACCTATGCGAAAAAGACGACACTTGTAAGTAATGAAATGAATAGTTACCCACCCACGAACGAGGTCTGATCGTGGAAAACCATGTCTACTCCGCTGTTTTAGTTTACATCAAAGTAAAGACTGTGCTTGTATATAGACTGCTTGCTGGTCAATGCCTAATAGGAGAACTAAAATCAAATCAGTTTCCGTACTTCTCACTTGCACTCCCTCTTGGAAAATCTCTTCAGAAGTTCAGAATTATTCAGAATTTTAGGTAATATCTAACACAACAATACTAATCTCTAGGCGTTATCATCACTAGCGAGAACCTAAACATGTCCTTCCCCCATGCTGAATACGCGTACCATGCAATAGTCACAAAAGGAGGGTATTCCCACAATGAAGAAATGGTTGGTTTTTTCTTACAATGAGCGAGTGTGAAACTGTCGTTGCCAGCTGCCAAAATCAAAATTCAGGTTAAAGTGGGAGACTTTATCACCGTTCAAAGTTTTTTCTGCCCCCTAATTCGGAAGAAACACTACTTCCTGAAAGGTAAGCAATGAATCACATAACACTCTGAAGTGAACGTTATTGCTATAGGAACTCCGAGCCGTTCTACGCTGTACATCCGTCACCACATATGCTCAGAAATAGAAGATTGCAAGCTATAGATGATTACCTGCATGACCATCCAATTTCTCCCATGTAGTAAAAAATAAACATTGTTTTCACAGAAAAAAAAACGTTGGTTTCCCATGCTCAAGCACTAGAAGATGAAGAATGCTAAACCGATTACAAAAAACAGTACTCGCTATAAACGAAATTCACATTTTCAGGTATGCGTTGGTAGGCAGCTTATATAATACCGATTTAACTTAGAAGCTTTTGTGAAAACCACAACAAACATTCCAGTTGTCACCATTATTAGTGAAGAAGTGTGATAGATATTGTGAGAGCTCGATCTGTTCCTTGAAATTTGGCGTGGCTTAAGCACCTTTATTCAAACTGAGTTCGGTATGATTATATGTGGTATTATTGTGCCCCCACAATGGTCGGTCGCCTCATCGTGGCGTGGGGGTGACACTGCTTGTCGAACTGCGATGCACAGCCGAGTGTATACTCTGGTAGGGCCTCCCAAGCTGTGAAGGAGTTCGACGTTTCCGGTTTCGGCCGGATGCCTAGTTAAGAACTGGCCACGCCAGATCCTCCGCCGTCTGGCTTCTTCTGGTCGCTAGGCGGTCCCTCCCCGCTCCAAGCCCGGGGTCAGCGATCGCCCCGTGGAAGTCAAGAGTAGGCCTAGTAAGCCACCTCTTGTAGGGGAAAATTCATATTACTCCTCCAGTTAGAAGATTAGAAAGAAACCCTGCACATCGCATCCCGCCTACGGCGCCGGGTGGTTGCAAGAACGATGTCAGGGTACTCAGGGCGCCTTTCGGATTGGACAAAAACGACACGTCTGCCCGGACGACACGCCATGGAGACTGCCTCATGCTCTGCACCTACAACGCCAGGACAGTCTCCACAAACGCCGACCTCCACGCTCTTCTCGACGCTGCAGAGCATATCAACTACCACATCATCGCTCTGCAGGAAACGAAGTCCAGGAAGAAGGACGTGCGACAGATGAGTGATGGGACCCTCATCATTCGTGGTGAAAAGGTTCCATCACGAAACGTGGGAGGCGTCGGCTTTGTCGTCCATCCATCTATCGTCCATCTTGTCGATTCGCACGAGATCCTATCACCTCGACTAGGCATCCTACGACTACGCCCTCCACGTCAGAAGACCATCAGCATCATCAACTGCTACTCGCCAACATCAGCAGTTGACGACTCAGAACTAGATGCTTTCTACGAAGACGTGGAGGAGGTCGTCCGCAACGAAAAGTCCTTCTACAAGTATGTTGTGGGCGACTTCAATGCGAAAATCGGGATGCCACTAGAAAAGGAATATAGGATCGGGAAGTTTGGATATGGGCTCTGAAACGAAAACGGCAACCGTCTCGTTGGGCTCCTCTCCGCCGCACGACTTTTCCATGGAAACTATATCTTCATGGAGAAAGAATATCGCCGGTGGACTTGGGAATCGCCCAACGGAACGACTTATGCTGAGATCGACCACGTTCTCACCAACCGAAGGTGGAGCTTACTTGATGTCTCTGTAGTTCCATCCTTCTGTAGTTGCTCCGATCACCGCCTCCTTCGAGCGAAGATACGACTCAGCCGAAGGCTGGAAAAGAAAGTCTGTCATAGTGCCGCGAGAAGGGAGGAAGTCGTTTATGACGGTAACAGGTGGAAGAGCTCATATCAAGTTGTGACTGGCCCATCGAGGAGGACCAACGTACGACTACGACCGGCTTCTGAAAGGATTGCGAGCCTGCGGAGAATGCGCCTCAGTGACTTCTGAGAAGAACGTGGACCGCATCTCGAAGACCACCAAGAAATTGCTCGAAAGAAGAAGACCATTGAGGCAGGATCCGAATGCAACTCATCTCGAGCGACTGATAGTCAACGCCAGTTGCAGAACAGCTTTGCAAGAGGATCTCAGGAAGTACAGGCAAGACAAGATACTGGAAGCAGCCGAAAGAAGAGTAGTCTCAAGAAGTGCCGAAGGGACCTCTGCGAATATCACGTACCGCTGGCTGCACTATTAAACGAAGACGGGACTCCGACTTCTTCCCGATACAAGATGGAATCTATCGCGAAGAACTTCTACACCAACCTCTTCCGCTCATCAACACCCGTGCAGATGCCCGTTGTTCCCACTGGAGAAGTACCACCACGAATTCTACCTGCTGAAGTGCGTATCGCGATGCAGACCTTGAAGACGTCCATGGCTCCAGGACCAGATCATCTTTCCGTCGAACGTCTGCGAGCCGGAGGACACCGTCTACACGAGATTCTAGCGTCGCATTTGACATCTTACCTTCAGAAGGAGAAGATTTCCGACCAGTGGAGAACGTCAAGAACCATCCTTCTCTTCAAGAAGGGTGAACGGGAGGATCTTCGGAACTACCGTCCAATATGCTTGCTGAGTGTGCTGTACAAGCTTTTCACGAAGATTATCCTCGCTCGCATATCAAGGACACTGGATGAAGCCCAACCCCAAGAATAAGCTGGATTTCGCAAAGGATTCAGCTGCATGGACCACATTAAGACCGTTTCGAGGGTCATAGAAGTCTGGCGGGAGTACCGACTGCCTCTCGTCCTAACCTTTGTCGACTACGAGAAAGCCTTTGACAGCGTCGAAACCAACGCCATCCTGTCTGCGCTAGTCGATCAAGGAGTGGACCCAGCTTACGTGAGGACGTTAGCCGATTGCTACAAGGACTGTACAACGACGATGCAGCTATTCCATCGCCCCCTGACCATACCAATCGGGAAGGGGGTCCGACAAGGCGACACAATCTCGCCGAAGCTGTTCACCGCGGCCTTGCAGTGGGTGATGAAGTCAATGGACTGGGACGAGAGAGGCATACGAGTTGATGGGAGATTCCTGTCCAACCTTTGTTTTGCGGACGACATCGTCCTCTTCTCAAGCAGTATCACCGAAGCAGAGACGATGCTGAAGGAACTAAACGAAGTAGGGAAGAAGATCGGACTGCGAATAAATCGGAAGAAGACTCAGTTCATGAAGAACGCCCTTTGCGAAGATGCAGAAATGGAATTGGAAGGCACCCCGATTATGGAGACGTCTTCCTACGTGTATTTCGGACGTTCGATGAACGTGGAGAACGACTTGAGGGAAGAACTTAACAGGAGAAGAAGGGCAGCCTGGGCCGCCTTCGGGCCTCTGAAGGAAGCCACCGACCAACTGACGGACCCGGAGCTTCGTGCCCACCTGTTCGACTCAACCGTTCTCCCGGCGCTCTGTTACGCAGCTGAGACTTGGGCCGACACTGTAGCCACGTCGAAAGATTTACGGACCACCCACAGAGCGCTTGAGCGCAGTCTTCTGAAGATGACCCGACGCAAGCAACATCTAGTCGGACTTCGCAGCACGGATATGAGAAGAATGTCCCGTCTTCGTGACCCAGCGGAATACGTCGCAAAAGCCAAACACCGATGGGCCGGTCACATAATGAGAAGAACAGACGACAGATGGACACTAAGAACATCGGAGTGGATTCCTTGCGAAGCCAAACGTCCTCGAGGAAGACCACCGACGAGATGGGCAGACGTGTTCGTGGAACGGATGGACCAGCTGAGAAATTAGCTGGATACGACTTTCGCCCCTGGAACTCGTGGACGCAGCCACCGACGACGGCCAAGAAGATCGTGGATGTCTGAAGCGTGGGACAGGGAAAACTGACGACTTCTGTATTGGGGCCCGCACGTCACGTGAGGACGGGCCATCTAAGTATCTAAGTAAGTATATGTGGTACTATAGCGGGGTTTCTGACTAAGTAATCGCTCGAGTCCGGCTGCAAAAAATGCTTAAACAAAAAAATAGCCCACAAGTTAGAAGCGGCAAGGTGGCTCCGCTCATCAGTATGGATGGTCTGAAATTTTTGAATATCGTCTAGTTTTCTGATTGTCGCTTTTGTTTCTCTCACTCAAACTCTTTCTACCGATTCTGAAGATTGTAAAATTTTTTTGAGTACCAGAAACCGCACTCAATTATGTTACACTTCGAAAATGCGGCTCATGCGAGAATGCGAGTTGAATAATAATGCCCTCTTGTTCGGTGTGTATAGTAAGGGATACTGAGTCATCTTGGAAGTTTTTTCTTTTTTCGAGCCTTGGACATAGTGCCATAATTTGAGAGAATATCAAAGGACAGTAGAAGTTACCATATATAGATTTGATAGAGGACTCTTCTAGTTCCTATACCTACCAATGCAGAAAACGCTTTGTAGGAAGTTTATACGACTGTGAAGTCGACATTTACAAACGCGAATCCTTGATAATTGCCTCCTCTCTAAACTCGAACTCAAAGTAGCCGAAGGAGTAACCATTATGCGCAGATAATTGTGAAGACTACACCTCTTCTAGAGATCTTGTAAAACTGAATAGAAATTTCAACCTAGAGAATGCAGAAGCTTTTCTGCGAGGAAGTAATTTACAAATTGTTGAATTCCTAGATCGAGGGCATCTTGTGCTCGGTTTCGTTTCTCACGATTTTGTGAACAATCCGTTTTTGACCGTGCTTGTACCTACGGCGAATCAACTACACTATAAGAACCATTTCGTGACAAATGATTTGAAAAAGCATTGATTGGTTTGGTTCAGCTAATTGACCATGATTGGTACAGCAGTATTTAATTGGCAGAGTGACGTTTCGGCGGTTTTGCCTTTTCAAAGTCTGAAAAATTCAAACCACGTCAGTAACTTATTCGACTAAAGACCTGTCGATTACGAACAAAAATCCAATCTTTCAGAACCTTGTAGTTTCAACCGCTCCTGCTCTTCTATTCGACTAAAGTCTCCTTGATTACAGACAAAAACCCAGGTTTGAGAATGTAGTTGTAATTGCGCCTTGCTTCTACAAAAGTTGGAATTTTGTCGGTTATCGACGAGATTTTTGGATAGGTTACTGATATGACTTTTTCAAACTCTGAAGAAGGCGAAAGCGTCGTAATCTGTCAAATACTGCTGTACCAATCTTGGTCACTCAGCTGAAGCAAACCAATTAAGACATAACGAGATCAAGATTAATCAACAGTCGAGCA